TGGTTGCCTGGGTGAGGTGCGGGGTGTGTGTTGGGGAGCTGTTGGGATGTTGGTCAAAGGATACAAGATTTTGGTTACACCAGAGGAATAAGTTCAAGAGATCTATTGCACAGCATGTTGACTATAGTTAATAACAATGTATTATATTCTCGAAAATCACTGAGAGAGTAGATTTTAAGTGTTCTCACCACAAAAAAATGATAACCATGTGAAGTAATGTATGTGCTAATTAGCTTGATTTAGCCATTCCACCATGTACACATATTTCAAAACATATTGTACATGATAAATATATACAATTTTTATTTGTCAATTAAATACTTTTTAAAAGAATAAAAAACAAAAATCAGATATAATCAACCAATGCATTGGGGATGGCAGAGAAGAAAGATGGAAAGTGCCTGGTACTTGATACTGCTATCGTACCTGGAGGAAGCCACCTCACTTCCTCCCACCCATACACGTTACCATACGAATTAACAAATCCCCATTGTCGAAGCCTCTTCAGGGCATTCGGTCACCTGCAGCTGAGATCATCCTGACACACGCTCCCTCCCAGACACCCACACACGCAGCCCACAACTTACCTCCATCTCCCTTGGGTTCCCGACGCCTCCTCAACCTGCAGTTCAGTTGATGGCGGAGCCGTCTCGCGCAAAACCATCGATGGCTCTGTGTTGTCCATGGGCTAAAATTCATGTCTGAAAATAATCCAAGTACCTCTCTTCACCTGGCCTCTCTCTAGCTCATTATCTTGTTTTATTTTATTTATAACGTTATCACTGCAAAAGTAAATAAAAACGGAGAATCTCTGAGCAGGCAAAGCCAGGGAGGCCTTGTAAGTGACCTTAACGTTGCTCGATTTGCAAACGTAAGTGAAACTAAACTTGAGCTATTTCTTGTAAATGTCTACATTCAAGAAAAACAGAACTTAAGCTCAACCAAAAAGAAACAGCCAACAAATTTATAATTACATAACTAGGGATTTCCCAACAGAAAAGACAAAATAAGGCAACTTTATAGGCGGGGTGCAATGGCTCACACCTATAATCTAGCACTTTGAGAGGCCGAGGCAAAAGGATCACTTGGGGCCAGGAGTTTGAGACCAGCCTGGACAACATGGCAAGACTCTGTCTTTACAAAAAACTTTAAAATTTTTTTTAAACAAGGCAACTTTATAACTGTAACCAATCAAATATTTTCCTTGTATTACTTCCCCATTCACTCTATAAAAGCCTGTGCCTTCTGCTTCTTCAGCATTGACTCACTTCTGATTTGGGGTTGCCTGATTCATAAATCACTGTTTACTCAAATAAACTCTAAAATTTTATTGTGCCTTAGTTTATCATTCAGCATCACAAGTGGAAATTCTACTGGGCATTTATTCATTACCTGTTTATCGTCTGTCTGTTCTCACATAAGCTTCATGAGAATACGGCTCTTGTCATGTTCATCACAACCGTCCCGGCACTGAGATCACCGCCTGGCACATCTCAGTGGGTGCTTAGCAATTATGTTATGGGTGCATAAATGATCAGGTGGCTCCAAACTACCTTTCCAGCTCGCTCTTCCTAAATACCTCTTCAGAAAATGAAATCGTCTCCCATCCTTGGAACGAGTAACGGTGCCCCCTGCATGCCTCAACACATCCCTGCTCCAAGCCACTGTCCCTACTGTCATCGCCACATGGCCCACTCATTCTTCCATGCCCAATTCAAATGCTGCTGCTGAGGGTCATTAGGCACACGGGAAAAAGAAGGGCATGTGAATTCGGCTTGGACTCCCAGCCCCACCACGACCTTGCTGTGGGACCCTGGGCAAGTTACTTCAAACTCTGAAGCTCGGTTGCTTCACTATAAAACAGGGCTAAGGTATCTCCGTAGCAGCGTTTGTCTGCTTGTAAGTTTGGCAGTAGATTCAATGAAACAATTAAGACAGGGGACTTGGATACGACAGCCCTCCTTCCCTCCTCGTTCCTCCTCTTCAAAGCTTGCATTGATCAAACAGCCACGTGATCTCTGACTCCTCTGACTGCCCACAAGATCCCATCACTGGCCACTGAGCCTCTCCACCTTGTGCCACTGGTGTGTCCGCAGCCGTCCCCTCTTCCTTCCTATCCCACCCCCACCCCAGAACGTGAGTCCCCAGGGCAGGGGCTGTGTCTCCTTCATCTACATTCCCCGAGTGTTTGACACATAGCGATGCTCAAGAGATATCTGTGGAAAGAGCACACACGTGAATGAGAAAGGAAATGAAGGCAGGAGTGTCACGGCTGTGGCTAACCACGGCAGAGACAGTCTGCAAGATCCTCGGCAGAGGGGCGTCCCTCCCGGGGCCAGGCCTGCCTCAGAGAGAAGCAAAATAAAAGGAAATCGAACAAGGTGCTACAAACAACAGGTGTAACTCTGGCAGCGTCTCTCTCTGCTGCTCTGCTCTTTATCTGTGACATGAGAGGGCTGAGCCAGATGGCCTCTGGGGACAGGCGAGGTGGGAGGGGCGTGGGGTTCAGAGCCAGACTCTCCCGGGCTGGAACCTTGCTGCCTCCAGTGGCTGGCTGTGCAGCCGCACACTCCCCTCTCCGCCTCTCTGGGCATGTCTCCTGCAAAACGGCGTTAACAACACCTAATTGATAGGGTGGTTGAGTGGATGCAATGAGAGTTGGTGCACAGCCCCTGGCATGGGGCCTGGCACACAGACAGCGCTCGATCCCCTCCCTCTTCTTACCTCTCTCCTTTACTGCCACTGCTACCTCCGCCCCTGAAGTCCCTGCCCTCGCTCTTGACGAGCCGCGCAAGTACCCGTCGGAGCTTTCTCTGCCCCACGCAGAAGGAAACTTGCCCTCCCAGGCAATACCTCGTCCAACCAAACAACAGGGCCCCTGGCTTCTAGGAGACTCTGGCCTCTGCGATGTAAAGGTCGCCAAACCTGGCCCATTTTCCTCCTGGTACAGAGGAGAACTCCAACGTCCAGCCCTGGGCATCCGGGCAGGGTCGCATGACTCATCCTGACCGAGGAACGAAAGTAGAAGTTCTGTTAACCACCTTCATACCTGACTCATTAAAATTCCCTCCTTTGCTCTCTTCCCTTCCCTAGAAAACTCTGGTGCCACAATTGGAGGACGGAGGCATCACAGTGCCACATGGGACAGCAATTGAGCTCCCGAGATTTTAGGCTTTACTTGTCACTGCAGCAGAGCCCTGTCTCCTCTAACTAAATCGCAGAGCCTGACATTTCCAAGGGCACAGCTCCTGAAACAGGACATCTTCACCTGTTCCCATCTCAGGGTGAGTCCCTCCCTCTCCTGACGCATCCTCCGCAGGGAGTTGGGACGGGCCTTTCCATCCCCCCACCCCCACCCTCTTTGAGACCCGGAGTCTAACATCCAAATTCATGTCCAGATTGGCAGTCTCTGCCTGTGTCGTTGTCCTCATGCACGTTGGGTCCTCATGGCCAGCGTGGCATCATGGAGTTGCCAAGGGCGTGCTTACGTGAGACCCTGCCAGCATGTCTGCTGCTCCCCCTTGGTCTGGGCCTCAGTTTCCCCACATATGCCACAGGGGCCGCAGAAGGCCTTTCCTGTTCTGCTATTTGCAAGCCAGCGAAAGCACATCCGAGAGGGAATGCCCGTGGCCGACACCCACAGGCTGCACCCTGGCCCGGCCCCCGGCCTGTATGTGACCCATAAACTCTCCTAGCTGAGTAAACACGTTTTATGAGGGCCGGGTGCACTTCCTGGCCATTCTGCCCCCACCTTCCCTCTCCTGCTCAGGCCTGGCCAATTCCCCAGAGAGCCCCCTCCTCGGGGCCTCTGGTACCCATCCTCGGATCCCCACTGCCTCCTGCCCCTCGTGCACCTTGGCACCTGCGTCTCCGGCCTAGAGGGGCGTGGAGAGTTTCCTCTCTTATCAGCCCATTTTACTGCCCCCTCCTCCTTGGTTACACAGTCATTTGGAGCAGAACTCCTGGCAGGGACAGAGCAACAACAGTCAGCTCCCCGCCAACGAGAGAGGGGTCCCTTCAGTGCTGTCTCAGGAGACAGTAAGGGGCGTGCAGGCAGGAGAGAAAAAGAAAGGCCCCCACGAGGAAGGGAGAGGCACCCCAGACCATGCAGAGAGGGCTCGACCTGTGAAGGGAGCTCACGGAGAGAACGGAGGAAAGCCAGGGCCAGCCCAGAGACGCCTGAGAAGGATCGGAGCCCGCAGCACAGCCCAGCCCAAGGCAGGAGAGGAGACAGGCCCACGGCACCCCTGGACCCCCTTCCACAGCCTCCACCCGCAGGTCGGCAGGAGAACCGGTGTGCCGGAAAACACATCCTGGAGTCTGGGAGGAGCAGAATTGAAGGAGGTGCAGGAGGGCTTCTGGGAAGACCCCTCGAGCTTCAGTGCATCCCAGGGCTGGTCAGCCCCCCTGGGCCCGAGGGTGGCACTCGAGCCTGCCAGAGGCCGGCCAGAGCCAGCAGGAAAGGGCCACAAGCCAGAGAAGCGGCCAAGGTGCACACGCTGCCTCCAGACCTCCACTGGGCACAGACCTCCTCCTTCCAGCCCCTTTCCTGTCTTTCCCTCTTCTCTTTGTCCCCAGTGGGCAATGACCTCAGAGACGCTGGTTTAGCCTGGTGATTGTGAAAGCAACTGCCTCTGAGAAGACCCTTCTCTGGAAGACTGAGCCCAACTTAGCAATGGTGACAAGTGTCTGACGCCAAGCTGGTGAGGGCTGTGAGCCTGCGGGACAGGACACAGCACCTTCCGGATCCTTCCCTGTGGTCTGTCCCCTTGGTCCCAGGGGTGTTTTCAAGTGGTCCATGGAAGCCGCTGTGGAGACAGACTCCCACTTGAATAACCCGACTGGAGACTCTTCCTTCTCCACCTCCGCCTGCCCCACTGATCCCAGGAGGTTCGAGGGAGGAAGAACGCAACCCCCCACTGGCAGCGTCCTGGGCCCACCCAGAGCCCCTCCTCTGCCCCTCTGAGTGCGCCGAGGTGGGCCCCACTCCCTGCAGTGGGATGGAGAGCAAGAGCTTGGGGTGCTGCGAGGCCCCAAAGAAGCTGGGCCTGTCCTTCTCCATCGAGGCCATCCTACAGAGGCCCTCCAAGAAGAGTGACGTGGTCGGGCCAGAAGGGGCAGGTGGAGAGGGACTTCGGCAAGCAGCAGCCACAGGCTCCAGGCGGGAGAGGCCCCCGCAGGACCAGCCCCAGGGTAAGTGTCTTCTGATCATTTCTTTCTGTTCCCTGGGCGCCAAGGCCCAGCTGGGCTCTGGCAGAGAGAAAGCTGCTCTGTCCGTACCAACAGAATAGAGGACTATAAAATTCAGAGGGAGAATTTTAAGGCTCTAAAATTTTAAGAATGATAAGGCTCTGAGCTGGTTGCCTTATATCCCTTTCAGTCTAACCCAGAACTGTGTTTGTTTCAACGTGGATGCCAATGCTCAGTTAGATGCAGAATGCAGGGACCCGGGCTTGTTCGGGTGACCAGGCCCCAGCTAAGAATGCTAGTTACCATTTATTCAGCGTTGACGATGTAGCAGACACTGTCCTTTAATTTCAGTACAAAGGCATGATTGTCATTGTCATTACCGGACAGATGAGGAAGCTCATGTGGGAAAGGGAAGAGGCGGATCATGTCCCCAAGTTACACAGCCGGTAAGCAGAGGACCTACGACCAGGACCCGGCTCTGGCTGCCCCAAAACCCCTGCTAGGTCTGGTACAACCTTCTCCCCATCAGCTGAGTTCAGCCTACACACCTGCCCACCCTGATCACCTTCCCCAAGCCACTGACCAGCCCAAGGCATGTCCCCAAATAACAATGACCAGATAGATTGCCGGGCCCTCCTTGAGAGCCACCTTAAGGAAGGGAGGGAGGTGGCATTAGGGTGTCCAGGTGAATACACACACCCTGCTAAGCGTCCGGAGCCCGGGCTGTGAGTCTCGGCTCTGCCCTGGCCTGCTGTGAGACCCCGGGAAAGCCCCTGTCCCCGCTAGACTCAGCTCCGTCTTCAGAGAAACGGCTGGGGTGAGGAAAGAAGAAATGTTGGAGCCGGTGACGTGTCAAAGGCCATTTGAGCCCGACAGTCGCCGAGCCTGGAATAACTCACACGAGGTTCCCACTTCTCTCCCCCGTCACCTCTTTAATCCAGGAAAATGCTGGAAAGGAGGCTCAGGGAGCCCTTGTCATACACAGAGCCCCACCCCCTCCCTGGGGTGAGTCTCCCACACAGGGCTCCGATGCGGGGGTCCCGCTCAACTGCAGGCAGGGGCAGACCTAGGAGGGCTAGTGTTCCCGGCAGACAGGAAGCTGGTGGTGTCCCTGTTACTGTGCCTGTCAACGGGAAAGGGTCCCCAGCTTAATTTTTGGAACTTCATTATCTTCCAGTTAATTGAACATTCACAGAAACAATTCTATCAGGGTTTTAACCTGAGCCTCTTCGGCCGCAGCTGTATAAATCCACGATCACCCTCTGTGTCACAATGAGAGAGAGAGAGAGGTTGGTCTCTCCCACCCGAGCAGCCTCCCTTCCCCAGTCTGACAACACTGACAGCAGAAAGGAAGCCACGCTCTCTAGGCCTCCATGAAAGATACTGGCATGTGCCACGTCAGCTCTCAGGCGGACCCAGAGCAGCCCCCAGCAAGTGCTGGTCAGAATAGCAGTTGTGACACTGGAGATCGCCTGTGACTCCCGCAGCACTTCATGGCAATTCTCCCATCCCATTGTCACACTTGGGAGCCCACCATGCAATGAAACCAGGGAGATATATCCCCACAAAGACTGCATGAGTCGTTAGTGCTAGAATTGAACACTGGTGGCCTGAGACCACCCACTCTAGACTATTCCTCAACATAGTTTAAATCCATACGTCTCCCACCATGCTGGATCTCAGCGTTTCCAAAAGCTTGGTGACGGGGGGAGGAGGGGACGGGTATTTGCATACACAAAGAGTGCAATGCGCACCACCCGAAGGATGGACATATTTGAAACTCGGACTTAGGGGGGAGGGGGAGGCAAGGGCAACATACGTAACCTAAACATCTGTACCCCCATAATATGCTAAAATAAAAAAATAAAAAAAAAAGCTTGGTGACAGTCCCAGGGGCAGTTCTCAAGATGACTTTGGGGGCTACGCAAAGATTGTTTAGGTCAATAGTTCTGTAATATATTTACTTCTACATTTACCTATTTATGACAAAAGGGACTAGCTAACCATTTATGGTGATGATACGAGGTTTTCTTTTAAATCGAATGGATTTATTTGAGTCAAACAAAAAAGTCTATTTGGGAAAACTCTAAGCAAACAATATGGACCGGCCAAAGCCCATGTGGGTCTCCTCACCTGGGATTAACAGCTCTGGCTCTCAGCCAGGCAGGCCCAGGGGCTCCCATCAGAGCAGAAAGGAGCAGGGCAGGAGGACCTGGAGCTAAAAGCTTGTACTTCCCCCCAAGAGAAGTGTGGTTTGGTCTCCCTGTGATGGACCGTAACTCTCAGTCCTGCCACCAGTGCCACAGACTAACCTGGCCATGGGAACATCCCTATAGGGCTCAGGGACACCTGCAGGCTGGTTCTATCAATATAATAGAGTTGAGAACCTGGCTCAGTCTTAGGCCCCACGGGACCACAAGAAAGTCCAAGGCAGAGCATCGTACCAGTGTGGGCTCACCCAGAAAGCAGACCCTGGGGAAAGATCTGAGCACAAGCAGTGGGTTTCAGACGTGCAAGGAACTCCAGCAGGAAAGCCGTGAAACAATACGAGAAAGGGAAGGCAATGAATAAAGAGTGTGTTATTAAGCCAGTCACCCTCGTGGGTAACTGAAGCTCAAATCCTTTGGGAAATGGAGAAAATATACTCCTCAGAATTCTTCGAGGTTTTCACCCACAAAGACAAACCCTAGCGGTAGGAAGTGGATCTGGAGGGCAGAAAGGTCCAAGGGATGGAAGCCAGGCGTTGACAGCCTCAGCCTTACGCACAGGGCCCAGAATGCCAGAGTAGGAGGAACTCCAGTGGGCAGAGGAGGAGGCTTAAAGTGTTGGCTCTAATTTAAATTTGATTTTTCCACAGTGTTCTTTATCCAGACGTGCAAAAAATAGCTACTAAATACCTACTGGGTGCCAGGCATGTCTATCGCACAACAAATCATCCCAGAACTCAGTGGCTTAAAATAACGATAAATATTTATTGTCTTGCTCGGTTTCTGTGGATCAGGATTTTGGGAGTGACTTAACCGGATGGTTCTGGCTCAAGGTCCTTCGTGAGATTGCAGGAAAAATGCTCTTTGGGGCTGCAGTCATCTGAAGGCTGGACTGGCATAAAAGATCTACGCCAAGGTGGCTCACTCACGTGGCTGGGAAGCCGATGCCCGCTGTTGGAGGGAGGCCTCAGTTCCTCCCTATGCAGGCGCTCCACGTGCTGCTTGAGTCTCCTCGCAAAATGGCCTCCCTCCCTCAGGGTGGGCAATCCAAGAGAGAGAGCGCCAGGGGGAGCTGCCTCCTTGTATGAGCCGGCCTGAGAAATAGCATCACTTCACTTTCACTGCGTTCTATTCATTAGAAATGAGCCACTGAGTTGGGCCCACTCAAGGGGAAGGGAGTTTGAAGGGAGGAGTGTCAAAGAATTTGCAAAGCCATCTGACAGCCAGCACGGGTGCTGAGTTGGGAGCTGGGGATGGTGTAACGAGCAAACACGGCACGGCCCTGCCCTCAGTGGGCTTGTAGTCCAGCAGAGGAGACGAAGGGCCATCAGAGAATAACGAATGCAAGCGCAAGTGCCACCGTGGCTGTGCCGGGGAGATGGTGGTGTGCTGCTCTCAGGGACTAACCAGCGGAGGTCTGGTCTGTCCGGGAGCTCCGGGAAAGCTTTCCAGAGGAGGTGACAGCGCAGCTGCAATCTGAGCAGGGTGACAGGGGGAGGACATTCCCCAGAGGGAGCAGCAAGGGCAAGGACTCGCTGGCAGGCGCCATGTTCAAGGGTCCCAGGCCTTGGAGGCCGCAGTGGCGATTTTTATTTTTGCTTTGTATGCCAACGGGCGTAGAGAACCATCGTAGGGTTTTCGACAGGAAAGTATACAATGATCAACATTCATGAGAACTCTGTGGTTCCAATTGACAAAAATTATCCTAGGTTAGCTAAAGTGGAGAGGGAAGTGTATTGCCTTGAAGAAAGTTAAGACATAGTTCCCAAAACTAAGCCCAGGGAAGGTTAAGCTACCTTCAGCCATGCTGGGAGCCAGGACCAACAATACCGTCAAGGCTCTGCAGCTGTTTCTCTCTGCACAGGCTCACCCCCTTCTCTCTGCTCATTGGCATTCTCCAAATGGCTTCCAGCTGCTCGGAGAGTTACATCAGCCTCCAGTGACTGTCCTCGAGCTCTCTAAAGACCCATGTCCAAAAGCCACAAAGGAGGGACCCTACTCGCCAAGCTTGAGTGAGAAGTCCACCTCCAAACAACTGAGGTCAACCGAGGCCAGAGCATGTGGCTGGTGAAACGGTGTGTGCTTGGGCCTGGTCTGGAGTCTTCTTTCTGCTGATCCCCCTCCTCTGCCACACCGTTCCACGCTGGAATGCTGGCTCCTTACCTCAGGGCCCTCTGGGCTCTGCATAGGTCATTTCAGTCTCCATACAAGAAACTCTCAAGTTTATTTTTTTCAAATCAGTAGTATGTTCTTAAAGAGGTTTATTCTCCCAGATAGATACTCCTTGTAGGAAGGCCGTTGTTCGCATTTTGTGAGCCCAACACACACGGTTCTACCAGGCACGTGCTCTGGCCTGTTCCCCCAATTTGCAGGATCCTGTGACTTTGTGTGTCTCTAATTTGGGCATTCGGCATATTTGCCACTTGGGCCAGCTTTCTGTATGTATTTTAGCAAATAGAACAATTTGATTGATTTGGGCTTTGATGGATGAGTAGGAGTTCACTAGACAAAGACAGAGGACAAGGCATTCCAGACTTAGGGAGTAGTGTGAACAAGCATCTGGAGAATACAAGGCCATGGCCAATTTGGGCAATCTGGAAATGGTCAGGTGGGACTGAAGTCACAGAAATGAGGAGGGGGTAGAAAGCAGATAATGCTAGAAAGGTAGGATGTGAAAGGCCTTGAATGCCATGCTAAGGAGTTGCCTTGTGCCCTGTAGGCACAAGGGAGCTATGAGAAGCCTGTGGCCTGACTAAAGGAACCAGGCCAGCACAGGTAAGCTCCAGGGAGACTCCT